CCATTCCACTGAGCCATCCCCAGTACTAGGAGGTCCCCCGGTTATGGACAGCACCAGCCCAATTTCACCATCTCTGGAGAGCCTTTCTAATAAATCTGACGCACAGCTGAAATACGACAAGTCACCCTCACCTCCCAAAGCTACTTCTCCATCTTCATCATTTTCCCCCTCAAAAGAGGAGACACATTCCCCAGCAAAGGAGACGAATCCCTTTAAATGTGAAGATTCTACACACGAAGCAAAATCCCCTGTGGGCCCCAAAGTTCCTTCCCCATCCTATCTGCCTCTCTCCTCCGATCTGTATAATTATAACTCAGCCTGTGGGTCCAGGGACCCCGACACCACAAAGAGAAGCCCCTCTGCTCCATCTAAAACAGATGTTGACCTCTGCTTAGTCACTTCATGTGAATACCGTCACCCTAAGACAGAATTATCCCCATCTTTTATTAACCCTAACCCTCTGGAATACTTCATTAATGAAGAGAACATCATAGAGGAGGAGAAGCCTCTGGCCAAGTCAGGAGGAGGACCCCCACCTCCAGGTGCTAAGCTTCCCACCAAGCAATGTGAGGAGACCCCACCAACATCCATCAGTGAATCTGCCCCCTCCCAGACAGATTCAGATGTCCCACCAGGGACAGAGGAGTGCCCCTCTATTACAGCAGATGCTAACATTGACTCTGAAGACGATTCTGAGACATTGCCTACTGACAGAACCCTGACCTACAGGCATGCCGATCCTCCTCCAGTGACTTTAAGGGACTCTGCTCCATCCTCGGGCCAACATGATGTCTGTATGGTGGACCCAGAGGCCCTCAAGGCTGAAGAAAATCTCCACAATGCTAACACAGAGGGAGGAGAAAAATCCAAGAAGAAAAAACTCACAAAAAAGTCTTCATCTCCAGCCAGGAAGACTGCTCTGTCAAAAATCAAGGATACCAAGACTGCCTCTCCAAAGAAGAGTGTCGGAGAAGGAAAAGATGCCAAAAATGCAACAAATACCTCTGCGTCCAGAGGTGTGAAAAGTGCCACGTCAGGTAAATACAATTTACTCATCGTCATCATATACTTCACTACTTTTTGATATTTTTTAAGAACTTAACTTATCTGAGAAATTGTATGTTTTTGCCTCTTTCAGGTGCTGGCAGTGGAAAGGCATCAGGAGCGGCATCTCAGCCAAACTGTCCTCCCATGTTCATGGATTTGGTTTACATACCCAATCACTGCAGTGCCAAGAATGTGGATGCTGAGTTCTTCAAGCGGGTGCGCTCCTCTTACTATGTGGTCAGTGGCAATGATCAGACTGCTCAGGAGCCCAGTAGGGCTGTCCTTGATGCTCTGCTGGAAGGAAAGGCCCAGTGGGGAAACAATATGCAGGTAGGTTTCAAGTATTGATATGACAATTAAATAGTGTACACAGAACTCCAAATGCACTTGGTATCTTTGACCATCTTGGTTATTTGTTTTGCTTGACACAATGACAGTAGGGACATATTTTTAAGCTTCAATTTCAGGTTTTCAATCTAATTTGTCAATACGTCAGTATTATAGTTATAATTAGCATTTGGGTTTCAGTAGGCTTGGATGTATAAGGATTGTATTCGATGGATCATATTGTTTGTCTGTCTGTTTCTATTGAAAGTTTTTTAATCACTTATGCATTTAGATGAAATTGTGAAATTAGGTTCCTGTCATTGTTATCAGTTCTCTATTAAATCCTACACCAGCACTGGTAAAACAGGGGGTCCCATAAATGGAGGTTTGAGGACTCCTGCAGTGGCCATAGGTTCATTTACTCAGGTTCAGGCCACCAATAATACAACCAAGCTTTTGCATGTAAACATCAAAAACATATTGATTTGTCAACATCCTTGAGCTCATAAAAAATCATAAAAAATGGTTACATTTAAAATGATATTGCCATGTGATGTGATTTAACCCTCTATCGCATTGACTTTTACCTTGTGCTGAAAAAGTTTTGATATGTTATCACTAAAAATTGCTTAAATAATGCACATTTTAAAAGGGGGTAGCTGGTCAGACACTCTGCAATAGATGGTTCATGTAGAGGAAGAGGCACATGCAGAGATAATTTCTGTTTGATGCTTGAGCTCAGAAACCTCCCTCCTCTCTTATGTCAGGTCACCCTGATTCCAACCCACGACACTGATGTCATGAGGGAGTGGTACCAGGAGACCCACGACAAGCAGCAGGAGCTGAACATCATGGTCCTGGCCAGCAGCAGCACCGTTGTTATGCAGGACGAGTCCTTCCCAGCTTGTAAGATAGAGATGTAAGACCTGTTCTGCACCAGATCTGTGGATCAGGAGACCAAGTGATAATGACAAATCTATGTAGCATAAAAACCCAAGCAGACACTTACCGGAATATGCTATTGTGACAATTCTTGTGCCCTAAATCATTGAACCTTAAATATCTGAACTGAGGATTACCCAATAGAAATTAGCATTGAGGGGCTCCATGCAAAGGACAATGATTTCACTATAAAGTAATAGACCCTTGACATCCATATGGTGTCTGAATTTTAGGTATGAATGAATTTTACTTGAAGGGAACAAGAAATAAAAAGCAGCCTATAGCGATGAATGTCCAATTATGCTAAGAGCTCCAGTATAATGTTGCTGTTGCCCCGAGTTTCTTTTACATCCCCAGATCAAATTATAGGAGATTAGACAAGAACCCAACATCCCTGCATATGGTGTATTCTTAAATAATGGCTGTAATCCATACCAAAGGATAAAACAGTTTTCTATCATTGCCTTAGGAAGTTCAAATGAATGTACAAGAACTGGTGCAAGTAGCAGAAGAGTAGGGAAACTCTACACACTGGAGGTAACTCTTATTGAAAGGACTGTTAAATGATAGTTGAATGATGGTAAATATGAGCTACCTTGAAGGGATGCTTAACATTGAATAGCATGAATATGTCTTTTTGGTCTGGTTTCTGTTTCTGCTAATGAATATTTATTTATCATTTCAAAGTTAATTTATTGTGCGTGATAAATTTTAAAGTGTGCAGCGGAAATCTGCCTCAGAAATCTCTCCCCTTGCCTTTGTCACATCTGTAAAATCATTTTCATGCTGATTAGAGAGTCATTAATTTCAGATTGCCTGTTTTATTTGCAGAATTTAATCTTTTATTTCTATTACCTGTTTTTGTATGTCATTGTTTAGCTTTGGGGGAGCAAACCTTTCCCCTATGTATAGCTAGTCAGGCAGGATATTTTCATAACCTTAAAATGTCTTGTTTTTCTAAAAGCATTGTACTATAATTATAAATAGCTTTGAAGCCGAAGGGATGGTTGAAAGACGTGCATGAGTTATGATGTGTTAGGATTTTTCTCTTCTTCTTTTAACTGGGATTTTTCTCAGACTTGCATTAAGAACAACAGGGCTACATGATTTATTTATTTATTTTGCAACTTGTGCCATGACGTTGTATAGTACAGGAAGTAAAGCGGTTGCCTGTGGCATTGTATCACAATCAAACTTCATTCTGGGTGCAGCACAGTGTAGATACAGGTTAACATGAGCATTTTTGGTGTTTCTCCTCTGTAGCTGAAGGAGGCGAAGCTTTTGAGTGGGGCGGCACACAGAGATGAGAGTGAGTGACTTGTGTGTTTCAGATGAAAGTATGTACAACAAAAAAAAACTAGACACTTTAAACACAAACATGACACAAACTAACTGTAACAGAGGCCAGAGATCAACCATGACAGGCCACCTTCTGGAGAATTATCCAACAAATCGACGCACATACAGGCTTTGGTACTTTGGGTTATTAAATCAACCAAACTCACCAGATATGTCTGGTGTTCATAAAACCACAACAGACGACTTCTCCTGCAGGGGAAACTACACTACACTACAGTAATACCTGTCAAACCTACAAAACTCTGAACTGACATTTCTCTTGGACTGACATTTCTCCTTTTCTCCATCTCCTTTTTCTTCACTTCCTCTCTCTGTCTATTTATCTCTGCCTTTTTCTCCTTATCTTTCTCTCGGGAGAACTTTACTAATGTCTGTCTGCAGCTGTGTGGTATATTTGTCTTGTGGTCATGCATCCTCTCCCCCACTTACCCCCCCAAAATACTCATATAAACCCCCAATAGCAATTAGTTTCAAGTAAGTATTCCTTAGTGCTTTCTAATATTTGTGTGCAATATTCCCTCAATGGCAAATCTGATGTAAGATGAGCTACTGCTGAAGAACAAACACTCAAAAACAACCACAATAAAAATCTGACGTGAACAAGAAGGATGTGTGTCTGATTTCTCTAAAAAATTCATACAGTCCGGTTGTGTTATTGTATACTATATAATAAAGGTAGTGTGTTCTCATAACATTATAGGTGAAAGTGCTTCTATACATCGCTTTTTATTGCTTGTAAACGTAATGGAGCAACAGAGAGGTATAACCGTCCTTGTCATCTGGCTACAAATATTTTATAGACTCAATATTTGTCTTCCTGTCTCATCTGTTAAATCTAGTACACGATTTAAGTACTGTAGAAGTGAACTGGGGGACACAGTCCAAATATTGTGGGTGCTAATAAGACAGACGTCCCAAACTGGCAGCAAATAAACTCCTCGATGAAAAAGATAATGATAGAGAACATAACTGTAGCTCGAATGTCATGTGCTCACAGATGATTGGCTGTAAGTGTCATCGTGGCCCAGGAGGGGAGTCATTTTTTTTTGGTCTCCTTGGTTACAAGTGTCCCTGAGAGCCAGACAGGACAGATGGGGGGGGTGTATGTTTGCATAGAAAGATGTGTGGTGTGGACAGAGGCAATGAAAAGAGCAGAATAATCAAGTGTAGTTAAAATGAGTTTCCTGATTAAATCCTGTCTGTAATTTCTCTTGATTAATCCCATCAATGAAACAGTTCTGGGTGGTCACAGCTTGACATCTGTGGGACGACTCAATAATGAAAAGTATTATCATAGTGCCTAACATACAGTACATATCCTTTGTAGTGCAGATACAGCACCTGCAGTGGAAGAACGGGTAATAGCTGCAGTCAGCAGGAGCATGGTGTGAAGCAGCAGTGCTGAGCCTCCCCTTCTACTGCAAAGGGAAAAAAACAACCCCTTATGAAACCACATTAGAATTCACCGCATCTGGATTTTTATACAGATCTACTCCATATTACACACAATCTTAAATATCAGTCCTTACACGTGTGGGATTTTCGATTCATTTTTCGATGAGAAATCAGGAATAATGTTGAAAAAGGCCTTATCCCTCAATGTCAAAGAAAGTGGAGAAAACAAAAGCAAATTAAATGGGATTTTTCCTGACTCACACCACCTCCTTCCACCAAGTTTCTTTGCAATCTGTCCTATAGTTTTTACACAATCCTGCCAAATAAGAGACAGACAACAACAACAAAAAATGCAGACAACACAACCTCCTTGGTGAATGTGAAAACAACAAATTAATAGACTATTTGTAGCTCTGATTATCTATAAGGATATCTTTGAATATGGATAATGCCAAATGGATATGAGCAAAATAATAATTGAAAGCATATTTATCTCCTCCTGTCCGCAGTCAATTGAAGTGTGGCTCGGATGAGACGCCTCGGGGATACTAAGGCGCAGAGTAGGATAAGAGGACATGTCTCCACAGAATCCTTTTGTTGTAAAGTGGGACAACCACAAGTCCACATCCTTGATGTCTCTAAGCAAGGGAACAATCAGCGGCTGAACCAGACTCTCAGAGGTTTTCAGCAGTAACTGGAAAGCGTTTGCATGTAGTTGTACAGTACTATAAGCAAGTTATGCAAATGAGACAACATCCCTGCTACTTTTCCAAACCGAACATGCAGCCACAGACGTTTATGATTTAGCGGGAAATCAGTCCCTGAATTGAAGAGGCATGAATATAAATTAATATCATATGTCTTGTGAGAGATGGAAGCAAACCTATTTAATTGTCTTTCAAGGACAATGCCTTTATAACTGGCAAGCTGGCTGACGCAGTGATCACTACCAGCTGCTTTTTTTTTATTTCTGTGCCAAACCTCTTTCAGCAGGGACATTTATTAGTGATGATGGGACACCCCAGGCACTTTCCAATACCAAAAGGAAGGGCACACAGGGATAAATCAAAGAAGATGTAAGAGCTACTATCTGTGGGCAGAACCTGGCTGAGTCCGAATGCTAAAAACAGACCAGCACTGGATTATGTAAGCAAGTTACCACAAGCTGTCACCAAACTAAACAATCAACCTGTAGATATACAGGTGCTAAGTGTAGGCAATACTGTTTTTAGATGCATGCAAACATACACATATGCAGAGAGGAGAGAAACCCCAGAGATGCATACACCTTGTAAGATACTATAAATTATCCAGGGCCCTGCCTCTGATTGGCTGAGCAAGCAATCTCAGCTGGATGGGCTGAGGTCTTGTTGCTAAGGCAACAGTGGGGCACCTCCCTGTCCCAGCCCTATTTTCTTCCTGCAAGATGATCTGACTTAGTTCCTTTAAGAAGCACCTTAATCGTATGAATGATTTTTTCTCCATTGTTCCTCCAGATGGCTGCAGGTCCAGCAGTTATGTTCCACATGTAAGTCAATAATCCTGTAACTGGTGATAACTCACATCTTACTATTAAAACCTTTGTGAAGAAAAAACAATGATGACACATGTACATTTGTGTTTTAAATGTTTTTATATAATCCAGACTTTTTTAATTCATTCATTCATCATGTCACCTTAAAACCCTGTGCAATAACTATCATTATCATTATTTATCATATCATTGTGCAATATTCATACTATTTATATTATTTATCATAATTTTTCATTCACTGAACTGTCTCCACTTGCACATGAAGAACTTTATTTTACACTTACTTTGCTGGTATTTATGTTTTATTATATAGTTGCTTCCTTTTTTCTTGAATACTTTAATGTCTAATTTTAAATTTCAAATGTATGTCCTTTAAGGAGAAAATGCAGCAGCAGTCTTTTCTAAAGATGTGAGACCTTGGTCACATAATTCCATGGACGTCAGAGGGCCCACTCACTAGTGGCAGGGTTCAGGTCTCACTGAAGGGAAGTAGAGGAGTCAATACAACTTTCAAATTAAAATATGGATTAAAAAAAAGTCCAGCAATAACGACAAAATGAGTTCATTAATTACTTCATTTTCGGGTGTCAGTCTACTAGATACAGTTTGCTTGAATGTATGTATTTGATGATTTTAAATAGGTTTTGAGTCATTTTCATCTCTATTTTGAGGGATGCGATGTGTGGTGCTGTTGAGCTGTATCAAGTTATAATTACAGGTGTTTATAATTGTACTATATTTTATGAAATATAATTTACTGACTGGACAAAATATTAAAAAAACTCGAGTCTTGTGTAATTTGGTGTAAAGAGTCAAATAGTCAATTAGTTGATTGTTATATAATTTACAAACAAACTGACTCATTCACAGTTAAAACATGAGGGACGTACAAATCACTGAGGAGTCATACAGTATTTATTAAGAAATGACATTGAGTTCCAAACTCTTCACCAGCCCTGTTAAAAAAGCAGCGAGACACCACCACCTGCTGGAAAAGATAGAAAAAGTTGTTTAGCTATAGAAATGCAGAATATATATGAATTACACCAGAATAAATCATTCTAAAAAAATAAATCTTATTTTATCATTGACTTAATAGATGATAAAGATAATTTGTTAGATTATGAACTATTCTGCACTATACATCATTTCAACCCTTCTTTATTAAATTGCATAAAGCACTTCTCCATGAATTTGTGTTCCTGACAAAAAAGACACCATCCTATAGAATCACAACTGACCCCACTCTCAATTCAAAGAATCTTAATCATGGACAACAAATGGAATCATTGTTTTATCAGGAATTGTCTGTTTTTTTGATGAACATTCAATTCATGAGCTAAAAGCAGAGTATTCATCATTCCCTATAGGCTACTAAACAACACTAAGGAAACACATTTGAGAATGTGAATCCAATTCTTGTGAATGACAATCTTAGAATTACATTACAACAGAGTTCATCGTTTTTGTTTTGTAAAGTTAAACCATATGTAATATTATTTTTAGATACAGAAGCTGTGAATTATATGTTGTGTTGTTGTATCCATTTATAAATATCAGCCCACAATGAAAACTTCATATATATATATATATATATATAGATAGATAGATAGATAGATAGATATACAAGAAGATATGTCAGGTCGATTCAATGTTATTTGCACAAATTAAACACTTCATGCCATCACTGTTAAAACGTGATCTAAGTCATTCTGTCTAAAGATAAATGTCACAGATGTCAAATGTGTTTAACTTTGAGATGATGCACCAACTTGTCCTGCGCAGGAGCCACCGGTGGCCGCCATGTTGGACGATGCCAACTGCAAACCGGGTATTACGACTTTAAAAACTAAATCTATCCCGTCCGTGTCGAACCTAAAAACAAATATATGATTTAAGTTCATTTTAAAACTTTGATGAGGAATTCGTGGCATCAATTCGACTTTTAAACGTCTGCAATATGTGTGAAAACACCCCCCTGTCCGCAGAGTCGTGGTGCAGTCAGGGGCAGTATGGCGCTGAGCAGACTCGGTAGATGTTGTCGGTCGTTAGCACATGAGTCTGTTAAAGGAGGATTATTCCGCCTTTTACCGTCAGGATGGACGGAAACGTGTTCAGGAGGTAAAGACCAACCCGAGCTCTTGGTGTTCGCCATGTCTGACGCTCAGCTGTCCATTAAAAACGACTGGTTCCCTCACAGAGACGAGCTCGGTTAGCATGTTGTGGTTAACCTACATGTCCCACAGTGTAAACTAACCTGACATCAGCTGTGTGATAATGTCACGTTAATAATAATCTCCAGACTGTCGCTGCTGCAGCAGTTCACATGTGGTGTGCTCTGTTGTTTTACTGTAAACTGTGTAAAAACTCTGAGCATTTGAGCTGCATGACTTAATATAAGGTCATTAACTTCACACAAGGCTAAAACTGCTCTTTAGTGCTCAAATGATTTGCTCTTTAATCCATTAGTCGAATGACAGGAGCGTAATTGTCATTAAGTCTTATAAATGATAATGATCCAATCGATTAAAGTACTGAAAACTCACTGTAACAGTCTTTAAATGTGAGTATTGTATTTGTTAGGACAATAGGATCAATACTGTCAATTCGAAATATGGGATTCAGAAATAATGGAGAATTTCTCTTTATGTATTAATTGTAGAATTTATTGATAATTTAAATAACTGTTGGCTGCAGCCTTGTGATTCTGGATTAATATCATCTTTCTCCAGCTTTTCTATCTGTCAGTAACTGAAGACACATAAAACTGAAAAAGTTTGACTGAACACAACTTGAAACCAGTGAGCTCATTGTTAACAATCTATGTCTTCAAACTTCATTCAACTCAACATCCCTCCTCATGATGGGGGTCTCAATATGGAGGATGAAGGATGTGTGGAAAAATGTTCAGGTCAAATTCTGTGGCTGGTTAAGATGAGTATTATTCACTGTAAAGAAGATCACATCAAGGTGGCATTATTCTGCCTAATGGTCTGTTTTTAAAATCAAGGTTTTATAACATTACATAAAGAAAAAATGTAAAATCAATAGATTGTGGGCTGGGCCAATTAAGGGGTCTGAGTGACAACAAAGATGAATACTACTTAAGAAATACAGGGTGGGTTCATTTACTGTAAAGCCTGATTCAATCTGATTTAATACATGTAAAATAGCATGTCTCACCATAGAGCTTGATGTAATGAGAAAAGCAGGAACTTAATGAGGATACATTAAGAAATTAGATATTGTACTTACAGTAGTGAAAATTTCAATCATGTTGAGATTAATCAAATTATGCACAGTAGACTCAAATGATAGCAAATAAGACTGGGGCTCTGTGGTGCTTAGACATTAACCTGCTCTGCAGACTTATCAAAGCAAGATATGATATCACGGTCTGTCAATGGAGAAAACTCTTCTAACATTCATTTGATTTGAGTTGATTTTTGATGGTTGTTGAACCAGTGATGACGCTGACTTCATTTATAGCACCGCACAACACAGCTGCATTTTTCATATTTACATATATTGACGTCTTACAAACTGTTGTCTCTGCAGCTAAGAGGCATCTGTTGTCAGAAGATGTCATCAAGCTTCAGGACTTCCAGGAAAAGAAGCTGACTGTGGCTCACCTCGCCACTGGATCCAAAGGTAAAGCAGTTTTCACATTAGCATTAAGCTGCAGTAAATTGTCTCACGTCATAATACAAACATTTTTTGTGTGTTTTTTCTTTCCAATTTTTTTTTGAAGGAAATTATATTGAGATGTTCAGTGAGAAGCTACAAAGGAACGAGTTGATACTGAAAGATGAGCTGAAGCTTCTCCTTCACTTGTGCCAGTCTGGGGACGACTTGGTGATAGCCAGAGATGCAATCTATAGGTAAATACAACTTTTACTGAACGTTTTGTAACACACAAACAAGCTGTGCAAGACATTTTGACTTTTACTCACTCTAAAAATGAGGAAATAAGATTGTAACCACCGGATAAAGAAACTTTGGCTTTGTTACTTTGGCCTGTCAAATCTATTCAACATCTATTAAGTTACTCTTTTAACTTTATATATTATATATTTATTTATTTATTTAGCTCCCTTCAACTGATTGAAATGTAAAAACCTTGTCTCTGTGTTGTTTTTAGTGTCTGTGCTCAGCTCCTTGAATCCGCCATGAAATGTTATTAATAAAATATAACTGCCTTGCCTTTAATTTTCTCTCACAAGGTATCACACAGAGAACCATAACGTGATGAATGGGGAGTTTAAGTTTGGTCCTCTCTACGTTAGACTGTGTTATGAACTGGGTCTGGAAGACATGGCTGCTGCTGCACTTACAGATAAGGTCAAATATTATATCAGCCAGGATATTCACCAAGTGCTTTATTTATTTAAGTTGTGGTTGAATTTTCTATATAAACATAGATTTTTTCTTGTCTAAACAGAGCTTGAAAGGGTTTTTCAATGATGCAACGTCCTTTAATATCGCCATAGACATGTTATTCACAAAAGGCTCTTATGAAAGTAAGTGACAGTTTAACCTTCTGTGTTTTTTCTTAAATTATTTCTGCATGTTCATAATTTTGCAAACACTGGCTGTTGCAGATGCTCTGGAGGTATTAAGAACCATGAGGAACCAAGGTGTACCATTCAACAAAGACACACATACGCTGGCAACGGGCATCTGCTACAAACTGGTAACATTTAAATGATTTTATCTACAATGTAAACAAAAGGGGACTGTGTTTGCTTGAGACTGATTTCATGCTTTATGTTGCTCAGAACACTACAGAGTCTTATAGAATCTGCACTGCTCTGATAGAGGACGGACAGACCAGAAGACACCTTATCCCCAGACATGCTTACTGCTTTGCTGTAGCATTAGCACTCAGGCAGGTGAGCTATATCTCTTTCTTTTACATTTTTCATTCAATAACATGTGGAGAATATTTAACTGTCATCACTCTTCGGTTTCTTTCTTTTTTCTTTCAGAATGACATTGAAAAAGCACAGTCACTGTATTCACAAATCATGAACTCAGATAGCAGATTATGTCAGAATTTGAAAGTAAGTGTCCCTGTTATGGTTATGGTGTTGTGCATTTATTAGTGTTGTTTTTTCATTTGTTAATGTTTTCTTATTATGATTTAGGTGATGATGTTAGCCATGTCAGGAGCAGTGAAAAGTGCCATTTCCACCCTGTGTGCAGCCGCGTTACAGAGAAGCCCTTCTTTTGTCAAGAAGCCTGATTTTTCACAGGAGGTGGTGAGTTAAACTCTTAAATGTTTGCTCAATGACACAGATGCTACAACAATAAGGCGATAGCTAAAGATACAGTGACATAAATGATAAATAGCGAGAAGGGCACTCAGGGAGCGCATACTTCTGCCAAGGCCCAACAGTCCCCTTATGAAACCACACTACATTTATTTGGATCTGCACCAAATTGCACACACTCAGTCACCTTTTTTTAATCAAGATCCATGAGTTATTCTCTGATAAATCAATGAAAATGTGGAAAAACACAATGTTAAAGAAATTGGGGGGAAAAAATCCTGGATCTGCTCATAAAGAGTCTCTCATTACGCCTTTCTCAGGTGGATTTGCTGCTCTCGCGGAGTAAAGGCGGACCACACATGTTGGAGGTGGAACAGATAGTGACTCGGCTTGAACGAGCCGGTCAGGTGACTCAGCAGACTGTCGACGACATGCTGTGCCACACGCCCACAGGGAGGAGGAAACAAGGACCAATAATGGAGGAGAGGAGGTTCAGCCGAAGAGCTCTGACGCCACTACAGTCCACCCTGCTGTCGGAATAAAGAGGCCTGCTTTCAATATTATCAATCATCTGATGACAGAAATGACTTCTTCAAGATGGTCTACCCCCTAAACACAGATACAGTCGTCAATCTGCAGATTGGACTTTTTCCCTATCCTACATTTAGTGAAAAAGGTCACAGTCCGGGTTTGTGCAGCAGGCATTTAAAAAGAAATCTCAATGAAGAGACTTTACCTTTACGATCTGACATGGATCATGTGAGTGATTAAGAAAGAAAGTGTTGTATATAGAAGTGTAAATGAGTGTTAAAGATGAATCGGTTATTTAATTAAAAAAAATTAATTTGTCTTGCTTTTGATATGATTATGTTATCCAACCTGCATGGTAGCAGCCACCAGTTTGTGTCTCTGTTTCGCAGCTTGTGAAACAGATTAATATCCTTTTAATTGTGGAATGGACAGAATGTTTTTTCAGCCCGGTAGACAGAAGAGAATGGAAGGATTCTGGAAATACCCTTTGTTTCATTGGGACAACTGATAAATGATTAATGTGTGCCAGGACCAAATACAGAAAGGGGGCTGTAGAAAGATAAATAAAAAATGAATTTATTTTTAAATGTTAAAAGTTAACTCAGGGATCAGGGACATGCCTCAATCACACCTGTAATCAGCTGTCAAGCCTCCATATACCCAACCACCCCATCATGCTCCGTCTCAGATATCCTGACCCATCCTTTCCCCCTGGTCCTCGCTACTGGATTTCTTTGTAACTCATATTCATTTCATTTGTCACACGTAAGTAGACACAGGGTCAGCGGTACAATGAAAGGTTGGACGAGAAGGACAGGACAGCTCAGCATAGCAAGAAGATCAACAGTTACAGAGAATATAACGTTTTAAAAGAGGAAAATTGATCTCAATGCAGTAAAAATACAATGTTAAATACATTTGTAGATGCATGTGTATGCAAAGTGACTTGTATGTACTATACAATTACTTACTAGTAATAATTATAATTTTGCAGGTAATTAAATAACAGGCAGGTAACAGATATTCAGAGGATAGTTGAACATGAATAATTACTTTTGAAGCCTGATGATGTGTGATTAATAGAACAGAATAGAGTAGCTCTTTATTGTCATTGTTAAAGACAACGGAAATCTGTTTCGCAGCTCTTTACGAAGTGTGCAGCATAAGAGGAGATGGCATAATTGTTGATTAAGGGGAAAAGAGTCCAAACTTTTTTTTACCAACTGACTGAAGGAAAATAATAACCTGTGTTTTACAAATGAATAACTAATATTAAATAATATACTCTGATATATTTAGACTTATATGACGTTTGACTTCAAACTTTCCGTTCAGTTTACTTGTTATCAAACAGCTTTAGCAGGCTGTGCATGTTTCTGGAGGGTGATCGTGTTGCTCTGTGATATAAGTGTAATAATAACAAAGTATGAGAGTGAGACCCCGCAGCTGCAGATGTAAACAAACCCTGACGCGCATGAAATCTCTCCCACAATGCACCGCCCACACCAGATGAGCAGCCTGAGAGGAGACCAGCTCTGTGGGGGTTTGAACCCTTTTCATCTACAGTCTATAGTTGAACCCAAACAAAGCGATCGGAAGCTTTTTCGTTTTAACTTCAAATTAAAAGCGATTTAGTCCATGTGCTTCCTTTCTTTCCGAGTGGAGGACGGTGTCTTTATGCTGCTGGCTGACATCTGCTCCTAGCGGCAGCTGGTGGCGGTGCTGTTAGCATCACCTAGCTGGTTAGCTGAGGCTGACTGACGGGGGTGAAGCTGTGTGTGTAACGCCGCTGGTAGCATCGGGCAGCTGGACCCAACTGCAGCAGACAAAAGGAAAGAAATTCTATCCGTTCAAAACAAATACTTCAAAGTGAAAATATATCACCGAGAGCACGTGTCGCTTTGTTTTTAGCGAGTTAGCAGTTAGTTTGAGGCTAGCTAACTTCACTTAGCCATTGTTAGCTGACATCTGTAAACACTGGCTGTGGGTGTAGCTTTAGCCAAACAAGCACAATGAGCTCCGAAGAGGCTGCAGCGGCCACGAAAGCCTCCCCGGAGGATGACGGCATGACGTGGTGGTACCGATGGCTCTGTAAAATAGCTGGGGTTCTGGGAGGAATCTGTAAGTACTTCTAAAAGTCCATTTATCCACTTGTATCAGGGGTGCAAACGGTGCATTTACCGTATGTGTGTCGTGAATGCAAGTATTGGATGTGATGTGAACCAGTTTCTAACGATATGTGTTTGATTTGTGTGGTCTTCTGTGACCTGCAAGTGCATTTACTCTCCTGTCTGCACACCTCAGGCTGGGGATTGTGTTGACTGTTCAGCCCTCGTGTTAAAATGATAGTCAGATCATATTCAGGACAGATCAGGATCAGATAGCTGTTTTGGAAATGATGTTTTTTTTGTATTGTGTGCATGCTGCTGTTCAGTTCCTCTGCTCAGCCATGCTACACAAAAGCTTTGTTCCAGCCCATTGTCCCCATCACTGCAGCAGCCACCACCCAGCCCTGCCTGCCTGTGTGTGTGTGCGTGTGTGTCTCATACCACAACAGTTTGTCATTCCTGGATTAACATGATATGCACACACCGTGTCCGCAGCAGGTACTGTGACTGCTGCTGTGCAGTGTTCCAGCAGCGTTGCAACCCTCCTGCCTCCCCCATTCCATCCAACCCCTCTCCCCTTTAAAGTGACACCAGAGCCTGTGTCACGTTAACCACCCGAGGGACTGCATATTCAATGGCCTCTGTATTATTAAGGAGGCTGGATGGTCCAAAGGAGCAGGATGTGCAATGTAGTTGTTCCACTGTTTGTGACACTGACAGTTCATACACACATCAGGCTCTTTTGCCCCTCGTCTGCAGCAGTAGTTCAGTATGGTGTTGACTCTTAAATACTTTTAAGTTACCTTTAAGTTTATATTGGTTCAAACTAACCTTTATTTTTCAGGTGGTTTCAGAGTGATTTTCTGGAAGGCAATGTAAAACCAAAGTGTGAAGACAGTGATACATGTGTGCATCTATTTTCATGTTAAGATATAGATGCATAGATGCCTACTTTTCATTCAAATGTTTAAAAAATCTATATGTTCATTGTTGGTTATGGTTTACAGACATTAACACACCAGATCTATTCATAGATGTAATGTAGATAGACAGACAAATAAAAAAAGAGAGGGAATGATGGTACTTTATTAATCCTCAAGGGAAATTTCAGTCTACACGGTACTTGTGTGTCTAATATCTTTTGTTTTTTCCGAATCGTGCAGCTTGTGCCATCTCAGGAGTGTGGAACTGCGTCACCGTGAACCCTTTAAACATTGCTGCTGGAGTGTGGATGGTGTAAGTCAACATGCTGTTAACTATTGGAAAAAAACTTTTATTTAGTCAATTATGTTTTTGTTTCTTCAGTTACACTCAGGTCCTTGTTTCTTTCAGAACATAGTTACAGAAAAGTGTTAATACTAAGTATAATTGAATCAGATGAATAAGAAAATTCTTTAAAAATGCTCAGTTACAGTTTGATTAAGTTGTCAACCTGCATTTTTTGAGCTAGTTAAGTTTTCTGAAGCACAAACTATCCTTAAAATAAATGACTGATCAGACCTTTTCTGTCCAGATTTCCAGTTTTGTAATCAACACTTTGTAAAGATCATTTATTTCATTTAGATAATTTATTTATTAGTATGTACAGTATTATCTTACATCAGTAGTAAACAGTAGTCTCATGTTATCATGCAGCCACACCTACGTCACTGCTCAAGTGACAGTCGTAGACAACTTCTTGGTGTGAACAGGTTTTGCTACAGGTTGCAGTGATATGTTCAGAATTTTATGAAAATAGCCTTTTGTGTTCAGCTAGAAATATATTTGCATCAATAATAATAAACGATATATGTTGATCAAAAACCTGCATCCTTTTTTTAAGGCTGATCGATTGTGTTTAGTTTCAGTTATTTTTCTTAGCATAGAAACGTTATTGCTGGTTCTCTTTGACAGCAAACATGAACGTGGTAAAGCCCAAGATGTTAACTGAATTATGACACTAACAGTATAATGGTTCTTCTCATCTGCTCTACTGTGTTTAAACTCCTGACCTCCATGGTTTGAGCCTGAGCTCTACCGTGTCTGAGATGAAAGTGAACAGGATGACTCCTCTCTTCTCTCCTCCCTTCTCTCCTCCCGTCTCTCCTCCCGTCTCTCCTCCCGTCTCTCCTCCCGTCTCTCCTCCCTTCTCTCCTCTCTTCTCTCCTCTCTTCTCTTCTCCCCTCTCCAGGTTGAACGCCTTTGTGCTGTTCCTGTGTGAAGTGCCATTCTGTTGCCAGTTCATAGAGTTCGCTAATGCGATAGCAGCTCGTGCAGACAAACTCAAACCATGGCAGAAAGCCCTCTTCTACTGTGGGTGAGGACAACTATGCATTGCACATGGTTTATTTCACTGGAGACTCTACTGCACGATATGAATTGTTACATTTTTAGAATGCGAGTTTCCATCAGTGCCCCTGCTTGTGCTCAGCTTTGCTTTGACAGACTTGCTGCACAAAAAATCCAAAAGCAGACGCTTGCACTCAAGTGCACAGTCTGAGCACAAGCAGAGCAAATCACAGAGAATGTGGTTGTTTTTATCTACAGCATGGATTTGATATGATTTACTCACTTTTGCTGTCCCCTCCGTTGCCTTTTTCCAGGATGGCTCTGTTCCCCGTAGTGTTGAAATTCTCCATGACAACCTTGTTTGGGAACGCCATCGCCTTTGCTACAGGAGTTCTGTACGGCCTTGCATCTTTAGGCAAAAAGTAAGCTGCCTGGTACTAGTTAGTCGCTTGTGATGATGTGTATCAAACTCAGCTATTTTATCTAATTTATTATCATTTCAAATATAAGCTGTGTTGTTTGAAATTACTCATTTGTCTTAATGTCTCACCCGTAAAACACTCTTCTAAAATGTGATATTATAACAGACTCTCTAATTAAAACGCATCATGCTTCATTGAAATCAGCTAATAAGAATTTTATTGAATGCATGAAAGTTGTAACAATCTAATGAGCCTCCTTATTCATGCAAATTAACTTTTGACAAGGTCAGCTGTGTTATAACCTTATGATTAACATTGCCGTCCTCTCCTGTCATACCTGCTCCTCCTTTGTTTCGCTCATCTCTCCCTCCTCATAACTTCTTATTACCATCCTTCTCTCGCATCCCACCCTCCCTTTCTCTCTTTCTCTCTTTCTCTCTCTCTCAGGGGAGACGCAGTGACTTATGCCAGACTGCAGCATCAGAAACAGGGCGATGAAGAGAGGATGGCAGGGACGGAAAACGGCGGTCCAGAGTGAGGCATCTCCCAACCTCCCCCTCTTCTTTTCTTCAGTTCTTTCTTCAGCTCCTGCCCTCCATCCATCCTCCCTCCCTCACTATCATTTCTGTCACTACATAACAAAGGTATTAAGTTTATATATTCCCTTTTAATTGCTGCATTCTTGTTATCTGGACCTAATAAGATCCCAACAGATGATGTTGGATTCAGTCTATTTTTTGGTACCTGGTGTGTAAACCTCTTAAATTTTAAGTTTTGTCTTCATGTTTTTATTTCCTCATATGGTTTGTATTTATTTATCACTTATTCCCTTTGTGGTTTGTTGCTGCTGTTGGTTGTGAACCCTCTTTTCAGGAAAAATGTGAGTAACTTCTTTGTAGCCCGAGAGCCTTTTAGGAAATCTGAATAGTAATTCATGTGATTGTAAAATGTACATATTTGACTTCAGGTTGTTCACTATGACTGAAGCTGTGATTCAGAGTTGTCTGAGATGTAAAGTGGGGAAAGATAAGTCAAAAATCTGATGTGTTCAGATTTGAGATCTGAGTTTTGTCCTGCTTTTGGCAGCACAACCAAAATGTTGACACCAGCTTGTCTCACATCGTTATCATAGCAAAGATATGGAGGCCGGGGGGGGTTCCAGCAAACTGGGCCATCTGGTTTAATGAATGTCAAATCATCAGCGTGTTTTTCTGCCTGGTACTAGTACTATTGTACAGCAACTACTTTTAGGGCATTGTAAACCTGAAAGACAAAACCAAGGTTAATGTATTTGTTACATTGTTAACATTTGATCCAGTTAGTTCTGATTATGCATTTGCAATTTAGGGAGCGGACTAAAGACTTTTGTATGACATATTACATACTTTCTGTCATCATCTATGAGGGCAGCGTCTACCTTCACTTCACGATGATTTGTTTGTAAATGGGCGTGCGCCTGACGTCAGGGTATTTGAATTCCAAGAATGAATGAACTGGTCCACTTGGTTGATTTCATTGCGACTGTAGTATCATATTGATTTCACTACCAGCATCAACAAGTTGAGGCGAAAAATTCAAGCAAACCTGTGTCTCAACTTGGTGTCTCAACTTCCTGCAATTAGTCTGAAAGAACCAGGACCACTTCTATTTGTCTGACTAAATCATGGTCTGTTGGTGCAGATCCATGGTCCAAGGTACGTCTCACACTGGAGCAAACAAGGTGGGTGTGAAAGCGCCCTTAGTCCCCAATTCTTGTGGTTGAAACGCAGAGTTAGACCCTGAGTTCCTCAAAAGGTTCATGGTCCCCTGGGAATGTTCCTTTGGTGGATATGGCCTGATAGAAGAGAAACTCTTTTTGCATTAAAAGTCAATTGAGGTCACGATAAAGGCAACTATTAGAAATGATGTGTCTCCATTTTGGATTGTTGCATTTTTAAACCTTAACACAGATTATGCAGCAAGTAGAAATAGCATTCAAGTGTATGTTTCATGTTTCTCTTAACAATGTGAAAAATACTTAATTACCAGTTTGGTTGAAATCAATGTTTTGTTTTTGATTTTGCAGATTGACAGGTGACTTTTAATCACAAAATCATAGCAGGAAATAACTGATTTAAGAATATCCTCAGAGCTGCATATAGACTAGTAACAGTTGTAGAGTAGAATTGACTTTCCTATGTGCCTGAGAGGTGCATCTTAGAAATGACAAGTCTGGAGTTTTGTTTCAAACCGAGTGATTTTGGTGATGGAGTGTTACACTCACTGCACACATACAACTCTGAACTGCAGCTTGAAATTATTTATGAACATGTACGGGCATTAGGGATGTTTTGAACGTCAGGGAATGTATCTGGTAAACCCAAAGACACAGATAGATGATTCTCAGTTTTATTTTGTGCTTTCATATGTTTAGTTTTCCCCTTTGGTCTAAGCTGAGTTACAGCACCGCTGCACTAAACTTTGGTAGCATTGGAAAAAGAGGGAATTTCATTAAGAGCTTTCGGTGCATGGGTCCTTGTTTACGAACGGTTGCCCGTGTTGGAGCAGCCGGTAGCCAGGATGTGGCTGCAGAGTTTGTGGCACATTATGTACTGGAAAACTGGAAAGTGCGCTTATTTCATTGGCTTTTTTGAAATGTGTCGTACTTTTTTTTTTCCTTTTAAATTCAGATCCTGAATATTTTTTTGTGTTATGAGTCTTAATTATTACATTAACCGACTATTTTATTTTAATGAGGGGCAGTGAGTTGATTCAGGGACTAATTGGTGTGTATCCCACACACTCATCACAGCAACAGCTTGTCTTTGTCATTCAAATGAGTTACGGAGTGGCCGACAAATATACAGGTTGTGTTAGTGTTGTTTTGTTGCCTTGCCTCTGTTGTATCGCCGGTAATAAGGAATAAGTGTTGACACGGACCTCTTACAGCTGTCTCCTGCTCATGTCTTGTTACTGGCCGGTCAGTGACTCAGTGGATCGCTCACATCACCACCAGCTCTCAGGTGACATACTTTGACAATGCACAGCGTAAAGATACAGTTAATAAAGTGGTGTATGATCATAGATATATGATAACTAGTATGACTCTGTCACTCCACTAGAGCTAATGGAAAAACATTTGCGAAGCATTTCAAATGTTCATGCTCACAAGAGGTTCAACACCAAGTACACACCAGCGATATGCTACAGTCTGACACTACACACATGTTCGCTCTTATACACAGTTTTAATAAGACGTAAAAACACTGCTCTCTTTGTCCAAAGCTGTCCACCCACCTGTCCATTTTGAATTGTATCGTGTGTCCTCTGCTGTAAGGGTTATGTGTATAATGTGTGTTCTGATGTGAATCCTCATCCTGTAATGAATTAGTGAATTAAAACAAACTTGCTACTACTGCTATGGTTTTGGTTTTTTTCCAAGCCGGTGATGTTTTCGGTTTGTGTGTCCGTCCGTTCATCCCATTCTCGTGAACACGATATCTCAAGAACATCTCAAGGAAGCTTCTTCAAATTTAATACAACATAACCTTGACTCTTCAATGTGATATCTCAAGCCTTGAGTGAATTTCTTCAACTTTTGATCAGCTGTCACTTGTACTCAAAGATGAAGTGATTACATTTCAGTGGTCAAAGAGAAAGGTCACAGTGACCTTTTAAAAGTCTGGAAACATATTATGTACACAGAAACTGCTGTGTTTGGCTGAGGCAAACAACTGCAGTGCTGTGTTTCTAGTTTATCAGAACCCAAATTACAGCATAAAGATTGTACAGATGATGGTTGTCAATGGGATGGACTGTTTGTCAACCACTCATACGAGAAATCTATGTATATACTAGAATGTCACTTATTATCAGGACCAAAATTACCCATACAACAGACAGTCACAGTAGTGCCATCATTACCTAATTAAAATGTATTTTTCATCACCATCTCACTCTCCCTGTCTAATTATCCAGATGTCCCTCCACACTCTCCCAGACTCCATCTGTGCAAGACTTCAGGTGTTCTCACTCTTACAAGTGTCTCCATTTTGTTTCTTTAAACACTAATGAACTCGGACTCATTTTTCTGTGGCTTTGTTTTGCAGCAGCTGTGAACCATTGCACTCGAGATGAATGTGACATAATGCTGATACAGCCTGATTGGATGTATCAGTATCATTATCATCAATGTCACTGCTAATAGAAAAAATGACGCCCAGTCTCTTATCATTAGTCATGTCTTCCATGACTGTCTGGCATCATTAATCAAATCTGCGGAGAGGAAGAAATAACTGCATCAGTGAATTTAAATGCAACAAACTACAAACCAAAGTTTTTAAAAAGCTTAAAGTTTGACATTTTGGGAATTAAACAGTTTTAATCCATCACCTGTGAGACTGACCTCTCCATGTGGACGGTGTCTACATTACATTAAAGGTTATTTTAAAAGTTTCTACTGGTAGTTAATGTGTTTTAAATTATGAGTCAAATTAATGACAACCACAATTTAATTAAATCTGTATTATCTCAGTATTATCTCTCCCCTGTGCTGACTGGATTCATTTCTCTCACCTATAAAACATGTATCAGTTTTAATATCTTGCACTTTGAGAGGAGATTAGTGGGATTTAGTAGTGACTGCGCTTTATTAACACACACACACACACACACAGTATTAATCTTTAAACATCTGGAAACATAATTAAGAAAAATGCTTATTTAACTGCAGTATAGCAAGCAACCAACAGAGGGCATTCTGACATAATTTCTTTCATATGCCCTTTTTTTATTAAGTATTTAACCTTACATTTAACAAATTGTGTAGTAATTATGATGCTCCACTGAAGATTATTAAACCTGCTGGTTTAATGTCAATATCATCAGCTGCAGTAGAGGTTATAACAAACTGGATGGAGTTGTTTCATTCAGGTAATGTTATAAGACATGACTGCATATTCATCCATTTACTTTTGAAGACAGTTGCACAAGAGGGACACCGATAATTTACTTAAATCAAAGCAGTAATACCATAAAATAAAACACTACATAATCATCGACATAAAGATCCTGCATTCAAAAATTACTTTCACATACACATAAAAAACGAAATATAAAAAGTACTCATTATGAAGAGAGTTGTATTACTTATCTAATAATATTATATCATCAGTCATTAATGTTAAAACTTTACATAGGAGCAGTACTTTGTATTTTTTCACATTTATTGATCACATGTGGTGTTTGTAAAATCCTATTCTGTAACAATACCTGTGTTTGTGTGTGTGTGTGTGTGTGTGTGTGTGTGTGTAGGACAATATGAAAGTAACTCATGCATTTAAACAAAGGGCTTAAAGCGACACTATTTAACTTTTACTGAGCAACAGCGCCCTCTACAGCCACAAGTGGTGATTACTTCTGTTGGGCTCCTTGTCCCAGTGATTAAGTTGTTTTCATAAAACAAAGTCTATCATTGTGTTGACTGGAGCTCTGACTGTGTCCTCCCACTGAACTGAAACACAACTGAACTCTGGATATTCCCCATGATCCCCAGCTTCCGGAATCAGAGGAGCAGCCGCTGTGACAAATACACCAAACTCTACTTATTATGCTTCATATTTTGGGGTTTTCGGGGTTAAACCTTGGTTTTTAAGCATTACTGTTGAACTTGCTGGACCTGATCCTGCAACTATCGGTCAGCTTCTCACGTGAGATCGTACCTGGTCACCACAGTCACAGAGAACAAGAACAGACGTTCAGAGCAAGAACAGACGTTCAGGGTGAAAATGAAAGAGGAAACATTCTTCCTATTCCAAGTCAGTGATGCGTCAAACTTTTGGAGCTGCTGTTTTCAGACATTAGCTGCAGAGAATGTCCACACAATTGGGTGCAGCCTTTCACACCTGACCAACGCAGAGAGTTTCTGGTGAGGAGTGGCATAGCAAACAAGCAGGACACAAAGTGCAAATTCAGCTGCAGATATCTCCTGGTTTTGTTTAGAGCACATCTGTTAATGTTAGCGATAAATATTAATCCCGTGGAAGATCTCCTGCTGGGATCTGTCATCGCTCATTCGGAAGTTCTCTGGCCGGAGAAACTAACTCAGACACTTGCTCTGGAGAAATTTAGGAGATTCTCTGGAGTTCAGTGAATGTCTGAAAGCATCTAATGTGAAAGTTTAAACCACCTCAACTAAATGAAACTAATTTTGAGTGTTAAAAATGGTTTGTTCCATCACGTGTTACTTTGAATTAGGAAATGTTTTTGCTGTGTGGATTAAAGAGTTTCATTTCTCCCAAACAAATGATGCACCTTCCATTCCCAGGATCAAGTGTGTCAGGTTTCCAGCTCCTGTGTGTGTGTGTGTGTGTGTGTGTGTGTGTGTGTGTGTGTGTGTGTGTGCTGGCTGTCCTCCCAGCTCCCGGTTGCATCATTCCTGGGAACTTTGCTCCAATGAGGGAGTCGCCCTGTGCTTTGAGGAGAGAGAGGTAGAGAGAGAGGGGGGGAGAGAGGGAGGGAGGGAGTGAGAGAGAGAGAGAGAGAGAGGGGAAGTAGAGTGCAGCGTTGCCAACAACAGGACTGGATTCAAAATATAAATATAAATCCACATGAAGATCTGGAGAGAGAAGCAGGAAACATCAGCTGCGGAGGACGAACACCGGATTCCCTCTGTGTATTTTCGGACACGCGGATCCTCCGGATGATTGTTTGAGGAGAGACGCGGACAAACGTGTCCCCGCTGAGGACGGGACCTCCGAGGCTCAGCGACAACAATGCACCGCGTCCCCACAGGGGCAGAGCACCGCCGGATCACACGCGCTCGCAGACACACATGATCGTTTACTTGTTGAGACAAGTGTCGGGGTCTGTTGGAGTCTGAGCCCGCGATGCCTGCGCGGAGGAACAGGTACAACCTGGTGGACGATGTGGCGGACTCGAGGCTGCCGCTGCACAACGAGGAGGCGTATCAACACGGGATCTCCTTCCAAGCCAAGGTGATGCAAGCCTGCACTGTTTTAACTGTGTGTGTGTGTGTGTTGTGCACTGGTGTGTTGTGTTGCAGGAGCAGGTGCACTGGTCGCCCTCAGGCTCAGGGATCCCTCATGAAGTTTGAACACATGGTCTCACACATGTGGTGCATGTGGTTGGAGTGTTTACATTCGATGTGCGTAACATGCGCACGATGCTGAGAAATGAAGTGCATTCGTAGGTTTTCTAAAGTTATTGTGAGAGGAAGTTGGATGTGAGTTTACCAACAAGGTAATTCAAAGTGCTTTGCATGAAAATGTAAAAGGCATCGTGACAATTTGAGAAAGCAACGCAAGAAAAGGAACAGTTTATAAGGAGACCTATGCAATTTAGAATAAGTATTAAAGAGTGAAGGTTACAGTGCAGTTGAAGAAAGTGAGTAACTGTATGGTTTGATAAAAGGCTGTGGCAACAGGAAAGTCTTCAGCATTGATTTAAAAGATTTGCAGTTCTCTGGGAGCTTGTTCCATAAACGTGGGGCAGAAAGACTCAACGCTGCTTCTCCAGGTTTAGTTTTAAGCTGCTCTTTACATTCTCCTATTATAAATAGAAGTTGGCCTTTTATTTCTATTGGAATGAAGCCAAAAAGTGTTTAGCTTGGACACAAACTGTAAACTATGACTCGATCATAAGAATATTTGCAGATTAGTTTCCTTTAATAATTAATAGTTTCAGCTCACACACTATATCTGAAGTTCTTTCAAAGTTCACCAACAAGGCTGCTTGTATCCTCCATCCTCCTTTTCCTCAATTGCTTTGTGTTATAAATCAATGGACCAAACTATTTCCTAATACTATATACTTCATACTAAGAAGTATACAGTTGCTAAAACACATACAAACATTGCTTATTAATAAGGCTTTGATTGTTTCACGTTGGTGGAAGCATTGGTTACCATATTTCAAGGTTACAGTTTAGCTCGTTCAGTTTGTCTGACTGTTGCTTTTTTGTATGATGTTCGTAGGGCTGTGTGATTAGGCCGATATTTATATATTCATATTAGTCGATATCGATAATAATCAGAATAAATTAACAATTCCTTTTGCTCCTGAGTGAACGTTGGGGTTTTAAACTCTTCTTACCAATCTGAGGTTAATCAATTATGCGTTATACCTCCTCACTGTGTTTACA